CTCTCCTTCAGTAAATAAAATTAAATCCACCATATACTCTCTTTGATAGTTGTATTCTGATATACGGAGAGGGTCCAAGTTTCTCGTCAATTGCTCATTTTTTTCTAGTTCAGGATAGAACACATTTACTGCATAATTTGGATTATTTTCTTCGAATTTGTTAATATCATGTAATGTAGCTGAAAAATTTATACCAGAGAAGTTTAGTATATTATCAAAGCGCCTTAATCTACTAATATCATGAAGATTTCTCGCTTTAGTTCCCTGTCTACGGGCCTCTTCACTTGCTAGGTAAGCCTTTAAACAGGCTTCGAAACATCTTTCATCTGTATTTTGTGAGTTAATTATTCCTAATTGCAGTTTTGCCCATATTTTTGGTAAAGCAAAATGTGAACTGCCTCGAAGAGGTTGGTATGCACTTATTTTTAGAAAAATCTTTTTCCCATATTCATAGATCCAACCTGAATTCTGATTTTGTTTCATTTCATCGATTTTATTCAAAATTTCATTGTATTATCGTAAGACAGTTTGATCTATTCGATCCTGGCGAATAATATCTAAAATTTCACTTGGAAACGCTATGTCTTGATCTATTCAATGAGCAAAAACATCCCCTTGTACAATCTGATACATATAAGCAATAAGAACTATTTTAATTTTTATTCCCCCTAAGCGTGCTAACTCTCTTCTATAAATATCGCTAATTTGATCTTCTACATTCTCAAACGTGGCTAAAGGATCTTCTCGATATGGATAAGTTTCTGGAATAATAGCAAGATGATCTACACATAAGCTTTGATCTGAAATTCTTTTAGTTTCTACTATCCTTTTCGGGGCTGGATCTTCTATACTTCGAAAAATTATTTTGTCTTCTTCTTCAGATTCTGAATCTGACATTTCTCCTTCATCAGCGGTCTCGTAGTCACTGTCCCCATTCGACTCTGGCTCTTCTTCTGGTTCAGGAAGTTTGGTTGCCTCAGGTGATACTGGTGTCGGATCTCCCCAGAGATTTCCGAATAATTGTCCTATTGCGCCGGTGATACTACTAAGTAATCCGCTCATATTTTCCTAAAGATTAAATATTGTTACAAAAAGTTTAAAATAAAAATTAATTTATTCGGATAATTAGAGTTACATATTTATTCAAAAAGAAGAGACTATTTGAATGGGATTTTATAATTGTCTGTATATTCTTAGGACTGGAGAAGTATGCAATAGGGGGTGCTATCGGCCAGAAAGGTATAAAATTTATTAGAAGTCTCCTAGACGAATTCTATGTATAGAATGCAGAAAATTAACTTCCTCTGTTTATAGTGCATTTAGGAAACATACTGGCAAATATCGCATTCGAGATTTTTATCAACGTCAGAAACTTGCGAAAATTTAGGCTAGTGACGGACTAGTGACAGAAGTACAATAAGTATGATCATTTATATCACTTGATTTTTTTCATGCTCACCTTCTCATAAATTCGAAGCCAGAAAACCCTATTTATCTTTTTCTGAGCAATGTGAAGAAAAGGGAGTGAAGATACTATTTGTTTTTATATCTTGTGTACATGCTCCGCTTCGCTTCGCAGAGTGTGAACACTATTTGTTTTCATATCTTGTGTACATGCTCCGCACTTCGGTGCTCCGCAGAGTGTAAACACTATTTGTTTTCATATCTTGTGTACATGCTCCGCACCTTCAGTGCTTCGCAGAGTGTGAACACTATTTGTTTTCATATCTTGTGTACATGCTCCGCACCTTCAGTGCTCCACAGAGTGTGAACACTATTTGTTTTCATATCTTGTATACATGCTCCGCTTCGCTTTGCAGAGTGTGAATACTATTTGTTTTCATATCTTGTATACATGCTCCGCTTCGCTCCGCAGAGTGTGAACACTATTTGTTTTTATGTTTAGCGATCATATATGTGAAAAATTTTGTTATCCAAGATGGATTCCAAAGGGGTTTCAGACAGAAACGTGCCAAAGTAGAAAAATTTTTTTACTACTTGGAAATAAGCGATTTTAGAATGAACGCTAAACAAGCAAGCAAATTGGTTTTCTTAAGATTACAAGTATTATTTCATTAGGAAAATGATATGAGAAAATCGATATAAGAAAATGTAATACCCAGGATGACCTTCTGAAGCCATTCGGGCTTTTTGTACCAAAAAGCCCATTTCCTTACTACTGGAGTCATTCTCACTTAGAAAGAAGAAAGGATAGTCATTTTTTATCAATAAGAAGAAGTCATTCTCACTCAAAAAGAAGAAATAATGATCATTTTTCATCAATAAAGAAGAGTTATTCTCACTCAAAAAGAATAAAGAATGGTTGTTTTCCATTAATAAGAAGGAGTCATTTTTGCTCAGAAAGAAGAAAGGATGGTCATTCTTTATCAATAAGGAGAAGTCATTCTTACTCAGAAAAAATAAAGGATGATCATTCTCCATCAATATAGAGGAGTCATTCTCTCTTAGAAAGAAGAAAAGATGGTCATTTTCCATCAATAAGAAGGAATCATTTTCACTCAAAAAGAAGAAAGAATAGTCATTCTCCATTAACAAGAAGCTGTTCTCACTCAAAAAGAAGAAGGGATAGTCATTCTCAATTAACAAGAAGGAGTTATTCTTGTTCAGTAAGAAGGATAGTTTAAGGTCTTCAAAAAAGCTTTCAATTATACTAATCATTCACCATAATAATATTTAGAAAAAATATTCTTGTATTATCTAAAAATTACAATCTCCGCCATTCAAAATTCAAAATTATAAGCTTTTACTACTCAAAAATCAAAATCTCAAATATGTTATTATAGAACTAATTAATCGAATAATAATTTATTAGTTTAACATTGTTGAAAAAGTAATTTATTAGATAATAAAATAATAATTACATAAGATAATATATTGATTAAAGCATAGTAAATCATGTGATTAGACACAATAGATGTTTGTTAAACAAATATAGTTAGAATAGGCAAATTATGTAATTAGCTTAATAATGTAATTAGCTAAATATTTGTAATTAACTATATTTAGAATACGTAAGACAGAAGACAGAATATTGAAAAACAGAAACAGAAAACAGAAGTACTAGTAGAAATAACAGAAATATAGATGACATATATATATAGATGATTATAGACAGCGAATAGTTTAGGATTAGCCAGCTATGCTATAGCTATAATAACCTTTATAAAAATAGCTCGTTTTTAGCCAAATTTTGGGGATCTGCAATTAGTTTTAATCAACGGTCTTTTAGAAAATTTGAAAGAAATTAGAAAATTATCTTTTTTAATAAAAATAACCCTTATTTATAATTATTTTTACTTGTATTTTTTAAGGAATCAGCAGTTGAGAATAGGTTTAATAAACTGAAAGAAATAATATAGTTCGCTCTAATTTCAAATAAGCTTATTAACCTACACCTTACTGTTTGATATCCTTTGGATTGTTAAATATTATGAATAATTAAACTAAGCAAATAAACCAAGCGTGATAATATTTATCTGATATTAATTCAAGATGAATATATTTATCTGATACTAGTCTAAGAAAATTCTTAATCTGCTATTATTTAGAAAGATTCATTTACTATTCAAAGAAATAATGGTGTAGTTGAGTTGCCACTTTGATCTTATTTAATTTTCTAATAATATTATGTAATATTATGATCTTTAATTTATAGATATCAAAGCTTTAAATAAAATTATCATAAAATTAATAGAAGATGTTTATAATCTTAAAAAATTCAATGAAGTGAATCATTCATACAAAGAGAAAGAGACTTATCTCTTACTTCAGACACAACCACTGAATACCATTGTCGTGTCTGTATTATTTTAAAGAATATGATTAAGTAACAATATAAGTCATTTAATATAAGTATTGAGCAATTATCATTTTATTAATATAAATTTAATGCTATTTATACATTTTGTCGATTTAAGGATGAAGTGATACAAATTCTTCAAGGATTTAATGATTTATTACAACTCAATTCAACCTAAAACTGAAGCAAAATCTCACATTATGTTTCAAAGAATATTATAAAAGAAATCAGAAAAGTTATATTAAGAAGATTTTGATATAAATAAACAGAATTAAAATGGGTCTTATAGCAATTACATCATCATTGTTAAGAATAATGGAAGATAAAACTTAATTCAGATAAGGTTAAATTGAAAAAAAAAGAAAAGGAACTAATTTTAGAAAAAGTGATATAAGTACTGATAAGGAAATATTATAAAATATTCCAACTTATTATATTTTAACATTTTCTTTTAAAACAATAGAAAAAGAGTGATAACAGAAGGAACTTGTGCATATGCTTACTATTAATGATAATTCACTTGATACTCTTTGACTAACCTTCTTACTATTAAATGAATTTAAAGAAGATTGTGAATTAATGATAAATAAAGATACATATCATAGTGACGAAGTATCAGAAACTGATGAAAAGCTTATAAATAAAAAAATTAAAGAAAAATTCAACCAAAAAAAACTATTAAATCATGTTATTTATGTTTATGACAAGCCATTAAGATCGAGTTGTGTAAGTTATTTATAATAATTATTTAGTACTTTTATAATTTATCAATGTTTATATTTTATTCAATAAGTATGTAATTTATTTCGCAAAGCTGATCAACTTAGTGAAAGTATCAGCTATGTAAAAATTATATGCTATCATTGATATCAGGATGATAAATAGTTTGACAAGTCTAAACTACCAAAGATGCTTCTAAATGAATGATATCTCAATTATATTGTTCGCTTGATTATAAATAAAGACAAATAATGATAATTTAACAATATGACAATTTTTTTATGAATTCATATTAATATAAAAGTCATATAATTAATAGGTATATAATATAAGTTTATATATGTAATTTTATTGCTATCACTATAAATATCAATTGATATCATATACAAAAAATCATGTATATATATAAAAATAAATAAATACTAAGTAAAATATAATAATTATCATATTCCTGATATTTCAAATATGTAATATGAGATATTTATGATTATTTATTAATATTTTTCTGATATTTTATCAATAATTTGAAATTATATATAATAATTCATACGGTTATAAAATTATTAGAATAATATAGATATATGATTTTTTACTGATTTAGTTTGATGTATATGAAGTATTTATACCATATAATTTACCGATTTTATCTAAAATCTTAGCAAGAATTAGTGTAAAATCAGAAATTATTATTGGAATAGTATTATAGCAGAATTATCAAAGAATTGGTAAATAATCAGTATTATGATTTTATCCTTAAATATTTTCATTTGATTTATGTATGAAAAGGCGTATAGCTGCACTTATAAAGTCAGATGGTGATTATATAATATATTAATTTTAGTTAGTTAGTTGTATTTTTTAAATAAAAAATTTTTAAATTTATTTACTTATAACCAAAGTTAAAGGCAGTCAGATACTTATAATTGCTACTGTATTAAGCCATTCATAAGAAAAGTATACCATAAGACTTTCTACTATAAACTTACTATTATCTCTAATAAAGATTCTATATCATCGAATAATACCTTCCATTTTACCTTTACTATTTCAATAATTACATTAATATGCTTTTACTAATTATCAAATCACAAATCTCACTATTTAATGAAATCACTATTTTTTTTTATACTGCTCCTCATATAAATTTTGAATCGTAATCATATAATTATAAACCTTCTGCAATTTTTGTTTTAATTTTCTATTTCATTTCTTTGATCTTCTATATGTTATTATATTTATAAAATTTAATTGTTAAGATTTATTACTAATTGTAATTTCTGCTGTATTTTTAGATAACTAGTTTTAAGAAGATTTTTTAATCTTATTAAGCTTAATTATTATATTAGAATAATCAATATTACTATTTTCATTAGTATCAAATTATTTTTGAAAGCTATTTGTTTTCTGAAAGCCACTTATTTTTCAGGTACCACTTATTTTCCTAATTAAGTTTTGTAAAATATTTATAAAAATAGTTAGTGAAAATAGTTTGATTATAATGTTTCTTGTAAACTTTGCAAACTGAATAAGAATTTTAAGAAGTATAAAAGTTAGCAAGCTCAAAAAAAAATTTATGATACTATACAAGTCACTTAGCTATTTCTAGATTATTAATATAATGCTAAACTTGTAAATTTCTTATTTTATAAGGTCTTAATCTAACATTGTTATAATTTTCTACAAAATTCATAAAAATACATAGAAGGTTCTTTGCTTGCTTTTGATAAATAGATACTAAAAAAATATTAAATTATTTTAAAAAAAAATATTCTTTATTTTATTTTAATTAATCAAATGCATTACAAATTTTCTAATTTTCAGGTCTCATTTACTTTTTTAAAAAGAATTAATTATGAACAATTATAAATAATTATAAAAACCGAAATTTTTTTATTATTTATTTATATACTATCTAAGTTATAATAAAAATTCAGCAAAAGAAAAAATAATGCTGATTATATATATATAATAGTCAATCAAAATTTAAGTATTTTTTATAAAATATTTTAGAACTCATTTTCTTATTTGATAAATTCCTTAACTGTAATAATCATAAAATTTGAAATTTAATTTATTGAATTCATACATTAAATCTATTAAATATTAGTATTTTTATATTTTTGAGATTTATAGATAGTAAAATATATAAGTTTAAATTTTAATTTTTTTTATAATAATTTATTATTTATTTATCTTTAAAAAATCACTCGTTAATTACATTTTTTTTTAATTTTTACTTAAAAAATAATGATATTTAATAATATATTTTAAAATATTTTATATAATAAAAAATGTATATAATAGTAATACTTAGATTACTTGTATAAATAAACTGATTAATTGTATAATATTATATAATCTAAAAAGAAAATTTTATTTTCTAGTAAAATTCAAGTTTGAATTTCAAAATTAGCTACATTAGTTCCTTTTGTAGATTATGTATAATATCACATGATATACTTTATTGTAAAGCAACAGATTAGCAGCTAGTTTAAAAATAATTAAAAATGATTGTAATTAATAAATAAAAATTGTCTATAAATTTGTAGGCAAAACATTAAAAAATAATATAATGATAATTATTAAACATAGTTATTAAATTATTTTTTTAAGATAAAAATTATACTATAAAATATTAAAAAAAAGATATATTACTATAATAAAAACAAAAGAATTAAATTTATTTTATATATTTAAATTTAAATTTAATTATTTTTTTTAAATAAATTGAAATATATTCATATTAATATAAATAATTTTTTTATTTAAATATAATTACAGTATAATAAATTTAAAAATAAGATGTATGATATATAGTATTACTGTAAAATTCTTTAATTTAGGTCAGTCACATTATTAAGTCTTTACTTAAGATTACTAATTGCAACTTACTGCAGTTAAGATATTAGGATTTGTCTAACTCTTAACTTTATTAAATCTACATGTTAAACTTAAAACAAATCTATCAATTATGAAGATTTGAAAGATAAGATTTCAAATAATTTAATTAAAGAATTTAGATGATGAACTCGATTACAAATAATATGTAGAGATTACGTCAGACTATATAAAGACACGAAGAGACAAAAAGATATAAGTTTTAAA